CTCCTTGATTAGATAGATGCGCCAGTCCTTCCCCTCGACTGGTCGCATCATCACTAATCTCATTCAAACCTTACCTCTGGTCATCCGTCCTTGCTCTTGTCCTTGAGCAAATTCATCATCCATAATAGCTCCGATTATCTGAAACTTACAGGTGTAAGCTTAGAATTTGTCCAGAGATTTTCTTCTAATGTAGGAACATAGCAAATTAATTCTATAATTAGAACCTGTACCTTCATTTTAAAAGTTGCACATTAAATAGTTAAGCTGTGTAAGTAGGTTATTTTAGTCATGATATTTATTATTGGTACAGATTCATCATACCGCAATAGTTATAACATTGACAAATTTATTTAGTTTCATAATGTCGTGTATTATCAAACGAAACAGAGTTTCATTATCAGTATTACGTTTTTCATTTTCACGACTTATACGAAAAAAAGACGGTAGAATAATAAAAAAAAAACTAATCATATAAATGGTCTAATTCACTATTCTGTACGTGGTAGAACCATGCTGCAGTTATATTAGTAGTATAGTTATAGCACGAATGGGTCGGCTCGACCGGGGAAGGACCACGCTCTCACAGAATACCAGCGTGAAATAGTAGCTTAATGCTGCTGTATTTCGTATGGTGAGTGTAGAGAACCGGAGACCCTTTTTACTGGAAACGAGGCATTCCATCTCAGTCCTCACGGGTGACAACGCATCTGCATTTTGATTTTTAATGGAGGATAGATGTAGATGTCTATGGGCCGCAGCAACCACTTACCATCAGGTGGACTGTGTGCTCGTTTGTCACCCTATTCTATAAAAAAAAAAAATCATTAAACTTTAAAATCAACAATTACAGTTATAAGGAAAATATGCGAAATATCAATTTATATACACGAAAAAATACTTACATTATTCGAGCGGTGCACGTGGCAAGATAATTAAATATGTATCTTGTTTATCCCACTTCTGATCTTTTGTACTATTTCAAGATCAGGTAGAAAATAAAGGGTTGATTCCAACTATTACATTTTATTTCACTTTCTACAATACTATTTCGAGGCCAGGTAGAAAACAAAACGGTAGATTCAAACTATTACACTTTGGCTCACTTTACAATTTAAACTTATACACAATTCAACTTAACTTCACGTCTTACTGCGACGGCTCGAGTTGAGCTAATGCCACTCTCCATATATAAATCAACCTTTCGCACTCGTTAGCAGGGTGGGGCGGCATCATTTCCGCCCCACTCTTTTACAGAAATCAAAACATTCTTCCGGTTAAATTATATTACTCTATCTATTATTCGTAATCATTAATGTTAACAACTAATAGTAATTATAAAGTTAAATCGAGTAATTCTGGTATAAAAAATAATATAATGGTTATTAACCTAACATTAATCTAACTATAATAGTTACCTACGCAATAATAGTAACCTAACAGTTGTAACAATAAATGTCTTTCCTTTTTTCCTCTACACAATTGAATAATAATGATACATAATAAAACAACAATAAAATTCAATGTATAACTTTTATTATATTTTACAAGCTACATTACTTAAATTACTAGTTCTCACATAATTTTTCACCTATTTTTTTTTATAAGACAATTTGTAGCATCTAACACTTTATCATACATTGAATCCACAACATATTGAACACTTATATTAGCACTAAGATCGTGGATGACATTTTCTTCTTGCTCGTTAAGTTCGCAAATGCAGACGATGACCTCGTTTATCTTTATCTCGGCGGATAATGATGATGATGATTCTTGAGAACGGTTTCTCTTCCTGTAACATTTCCTTGATTTCGATTGCTGCTCTTCATTAATAGCTATTCAATTTGGTGGTAAATCGTAAAGCTGCTACTTTCGGTTGTAATAATTTAGTATGAATTTATCCACATCCTGTGCATACTAATACGGATTAGTGATAGAATTAGAATCATTGTGTTCCTCTGTGTTGGCCATGAATACAATAGTGGGCTCTTGTATTCATGGCCAATTACCACTATTGTATACATGGCCAAAGAACAAGTTGCCGGATTCGAGGATTATATAATACCCGAGCCCAACTTTTCTATCTCTTCTTCCAGCTTCAGGATCTTCTCGTCCAGGTCACTTTGCCAGGTCGAGTGGTCTTAGGTGGCAACCGAACCTCCACCGGAGATTCTTAGCACACCATGCCCCACCGTTACCATGGTCGCTACCGTAGCCTGGAATAGCGGGACCGTCGGGGACTGGGGGCCGTTTTTTGTGTCGTTTCTCATGGGGGTATATTGCTATTGTTGCCACGCTTGGTGAGCGGGTTGGCAGCCGCAGATTTTTATTGATTTTTACTGTTATCAGAAAGATGCTGCTGCCAGTCTTCTTAGTTTCCCTCTGTCGCCTCTTACGACACCCACGGGAAGATACGGGGTAGTGGGTATTCTTACCCGCCAATACACGCGACCGTGGCAAAAAGGAATGTTCTAATTTGTACCCCGGGTAGGAGAGATTGGAGAGAGAGATAAAGTATCAACCGGAGAGAACACCTGAGTCTCGGTTAAAAAGAGCAGGGCCGGTTTTGCCATCTCCAGATGGTAGTGGACAGCGTTAAGGTTGGAATGAAGTCCCCTGATGTTGCAAAAATTTACGGATAGCGTGGCAGCAGTCGCCTTGGTGTTGTTGTTCCGCTTGCCCCGAGCAGTTTTTGTCGCGAGCGGAATTGCGCACCTCTCCCCCAGAAAACGCGGGGCAGCCTGAACACTCACGCTCAGGAAGAGTAGGATAACTTGGTCGTGGATGCTCAGCGAGGGATCTCTGTCAACAGGGGTGCTGGTACCCTCTTGGGGTAGATCTCTTAATTCCGCTACCATGTTAAAGGGGTGGGAGGATGGCGGGAATTGGGCCTCCGGACACCTGCACTCACCAGGCGTAACGAAGAAGTAACACTCTACTTTACGCTGGTATTCTGTGAGGTCGTGGTACCACCTGGTTTGAGCCGGCCCATTCGTGCGATAGCAAAAGCTGCCGCGTGGCTCTACCATCTATATTGTTTCTTAATCAGTATATTTTTAAAACAATTGTTGTTAAGTTGTATTTATAGTCTTTTTATTTATTGTTTATTACCGTCATTTAACTTATATCTTAATAATATTATACAACATGTAACAAAAACCATGTGGTTCCCGTTAACTGCGTTATCAGAATCGATATCCAAGCATATAGAAATTTAAAAAAAAAACATTTAAAAAAATTATTTTAATGAAAAAAATATAGCAAATTGTATGTGATTTTATTATCTCTGTATTGGCCGAGGAGTGAGAGGATTGTCAAAGACCCCGCATTACCGATACTCTTGTGCGTAGACAGTAGGATTCTCTGTCTACGCTCTTGTGAGTTAGAGGAAATAAAACCACATACAATTTGCAAATTATTATTTTTTTCATTAAAATAATTTTTTAAATGTGTTTTTTTTTTAATTTATATATGCTTGGATATTTATTGTATAACCTAAAACTACGTTATCGTCCTTTCTCGCTCGAGGCCACGCTAATCATTAGTCTATAGGTTTCTCTGTCTACGGTTTCTCCCCTTTAGGAGTATATATGTTCTGTGGTCAGTGTGACCATATGTGGCAGGTTCCTGCCAATTTGGTACGATTGGCCTCTTATTTTAGCCTTTAGCATGATCGTTCGACGTTTTATAAAATCCGGCAGTATTTGGCTGGTTTGGTATATTAAAAATAGATTTCATTTTGACAACTCAAAATGCTGAAAATAGCAACCCTAGATTCTTCGTCAGTATGTGGGGAATTTCCCTGTACTTCTCGTATTACAACTTAAAGTTTGTTTGTAAAGTTGATAATCTTAAAACAAGTATTCATTAACACGAGCTTATGGTTAATATTTCAATTACTCATAGAAGAACTTACTTTAGTTTGGTATCGTATTAGATTTCATGGTGATAATATATTGTTAGCGATATATTGGTAATAATATTTCGTGAGTGATAATAATTATTGGTGGCAAATATAAAGCGAAAATATGATAGATAGATGGTATAGAGCGGAGTGAGCGTAATATCCTTTACTTTCGCCGTGGATCTCCAAAGCTAAAGATGATCCTGACGTGGCATTTTATAAAGCCTGTCACTTCAAATTGGTATCCCTTTGTCCGCTTTAAAGTAGCATGCCGTTACTAGTAAACATCAAAAAAATGAGTGAATCGAGTGGGCAGTCTTCGGTAAGTTTAATAAACTAAAGAGATTGTATAGTATTTTTTTTACCAGGTTGAACGTCGTATCGCAGTGCCAAGCTAAAATTTGTATATTTATTTAATCTTACACCCACATTAATATATGTTGCATTTTAAAATAAATTCACTGAAATATTTCAGGTACAACAATTCTTTAAGAAATCTTCCTTGCAAAAAGAAATTAAAAAGGCAAAGCTAAACATGTTTTCTGTTAGAACACAATTTGCTATATTGCGTAATGTGAAGAAATGTTTAAAACAATGTTGAATAAATTTGGCAGTATTAAGGCATTTTTCACTATAGAATTTGGCAGGTTTATCACCAAAGTAAGGCAGGATCTGCATTTTAAAGATGGTCACACTATCTGTGGTGTTGCTTGTTTGTGACACTGACAAACTGACAATGACATACAACTTCAATTTTATAAAGTGGTTTGTGATATGTCATATACGAGTAACTTTTGTTAGTACCATAGATTACTGTATATATACTAGGTTAGTACTCTTATTAGCATAGATTATTGACTATGTACCACAAATTATAAAGTTGCTATGTACTAGAGACTTATTAGTTTGTGGCAGTTGCTTGCAATTTACGCTAAAAAGTAAACAATACCTTATTTTCAATTGATAATGATATATATCTACAGTTATATAATACCAGTAGTTTTTGTACGACTCTTCGAGAATGAATTGTCTACAAATTAAATTATAGTGCATTTGTTAAAATTTAATTTTTACTTTGTCTAAAATAATTTATACGATGGAATACGATAATCATGAACATACATGGAGGCGACCATCATCACTTAAATTAGAACAAACAACCTGCCACACAACACCGAGAAGATCAACCACCATTGCTGTTGTTGTCTTAGGATTAGCGGTACTAAGTTGCCTGCTGGGATACTGTGTTTTAAGCGAATCACTTCCTTACGAGTCTAAAACGTTGCGCCTTGTAATTATTGTGAGTAGTAAATAATATTATTATTTGAACTGGGTATTATGCAAAAAAAAATATTATTTTTTTTAAAAAAACTTCTACACTAGGCATTGCTTCTTTGTCATCCATACAGATCCGGAACCATTATTTGTAGACCGAACAGATAGTTGTTCTATGTTAAATTCAAACCTACAGCCCTCGGCTAAATGCTTGGCAGTTTGGTTAAAATTTAGAATTGTTTCGCAGGAATTTGGGGGTGTCAGGTGTTTTATTTGGTAGAGATTTAGTCTGCGATTATAACAATACCACTCGCATTAAAAGGTAATGCAATCCAACCCAGCACTTGTACTACTAAGTACTACTACAGGATAGAGAATTTCGTATAGATTCTGTAATGCCAAACTTCTTTATAGAAAAGTAGTCTATAAATATAATAAGTTTTAATGGTTTAAAGTGCTGTGGGTGGGTGCGGTCGCATGCGACCGCTTGAGATTTGACAGACACCACCGCTCGGGATTTGATGGACGCATTCGACTGCATGGGAATTTCAAGAGGATTGAGGGGTTAATTCAGATAATTTGACCTTGTAATGGTGTAAGAATATCCACTAAGGATAAAGATATCCTCTTTTGGGTGTTGTAAGAGGTGTTAGAGGAAAACTATCCAGGAGAGAGGCAGCAGCCGCAGCATTCTTCTAATAACAACTTTAAAATAAAAATAGCAGTTGCTAACCCACCTGCCAATTGGATCATTAATTAAACTGCAAATGTTTGTTACAATTTTTGTTTTTACATTATAGTTTGTCAACTTTATGTATGTATTTATTTATTTAATCTGTACTGAACCTTACATAGTCAGTACAGTAAAACATGATAAAAAGTAAACAAATATACACATATCTAAATAATAGCTAAAATTGCATTGAATAGCAAAAAATAGCATTGAAAAAACAATACAGTAAAAGCTCCTTATTTGTGCTTCCTTCATTTGCGTTTTCACTATTTATTTAAAGCTTTGCAACCCGATTCCTATATTCGCAGCTAAAGATTTCGTTATTCACGGGTCTAATCGGTACATACATATTAATAAAAATGATTCCAATAGGTATTGAATCAAGTGACATTTCGGTGTTGCTTGAATTGCAAGATGAATATCTGACTGAAAACGAATTGGAGGATATGTTAAATTTACAGCCCATTGTAGAAGAGGCTTCAACAAGCACTGGAAACATGACATTTAATTTGAAAAATCGTAGTGAAGGGTTTAAGAATGGCTAATGAGCTTTGTGATTTTTTATGATAATTGATCCGTCTATGGACAAAGTCATGTTTTTAAGAAGCAAATTGCTAATGCCACTGCTGAATATCAGTCTGAATTGAGGGAGCTTTTAAAAACTGCCAAGAAAGAATTTGAAACAAAAATTTTTACACCATAGCCTAACGAGATAAATAATTAATTAACATGGTCAAAAACTTCAATTAAATTGATTCTTTTTATATATTTATTTTTTTATTTTGTGTTCTATAATCCCATATAAATTACCATTCCATATTGACGGTTTCTGTATTTGCGGAATATTTACGGAACATATACCTCACGAATAAAGAGCTTTTACTGTAGTATATATGATGACTTACACACATAGATATTTACTTAGTCTGTCTTAATAATATTCATCATTGTCATTACAGCCCATCACAAGGAATGCCACAAAGCACAGTCATGAGTGACCTGCATCCTTCGACTTCCTACATTTCTTATCAGGTTGTTACTTCAACTAGTAGGGGGCAGCCCTACAGTTCACTTACTTATATGAGCCAATTTGGAACCTTTTTTTCCCATTGATTGTCAGTTCTTCGAGCATTATGGCTGGCAAGTTTCAAGGTATATATGTACAAGGAGATGTGTTGTAATCGCCCAAACACTGCCCATTCAAGTTTGATCCGTCAATTGACCTCGTGGTTGAATTACACTTACCTAGTCGGACAATGTGGTTGGACATCCTAATGAGGATATCTGCAGTAGGACCAAAGTAACTGACATAATGCAGAACGGTAAATTGAAGTGGCAATGGGCCGACCATATGGCTCAAATTGATAACCGATGGGAAAGAAAGATTCACTAGATAGAGTGACAACTTGGTAAGGGATGCAGGATTCGTGTGTTGTGACACTCCTTGGAGGAGACTTATGTTCAGCATTGGACTTGTGCTGAGCTGTAATGATGTGGCGCAGAAGCAAAATAGGTCTATAATTATACAAACGAGTGTTGTCGCCTTGATGAACAAGACTCTATACTTTCAGAATAGTGCCAGATTGCTTTTTGATGATTATTCACATTTGCATGTCTTCAATGAGGTTACAGATGTCCATAGAACCTCTTAATATCACCCAAAATTTTACGTGTCCAGAATACGCTGCTACAATCGATCTTTAACTTCGACGGTTGGTTTTTTCCAGCAGACATATTTCGGGCATAGACTGAAGCCTAAGTTACGTCTAATCGCTTCCTCAATACGAGCTGTATTGAAGTTCACCGCATGAGTTTGAAGATGTGTTTGTTCAGTTGCCCATATCCTGCCATATCTGCTGCAGACTGCAGCTTCTTTTCCTGTATTTTTTTTCTAACAGCCATTAGATTCAGCGTATGATTGGAGATAGTATGGACAATTTCCGGGTCAGTGTGCACATACAACCGGTGACATAGTTTTCATTCTCGCAAACACTGAGGTATTATTGAATAGTCTCCATCTGGTCTTAATAATGAAGTCAATCTCATTTTGTTGAGTCGTCGGGGCTAGATATGGTCCACTTCCTGTGGAGTCGCTTCTAGAAGCATAAAGCGCAACAAAAATTAAGCCCATTGTCCTAGTTTTGCATTGAAGTCTTTTATCAACACCATATTATGGCTTTAGAGATATTCTCATACATCTCCTCCACCCTCTCATTGAAGTGACGAGGTCAGGGTGACCCGCTCAAGGACAAAACCATAGTTCCAATCTTCGCAAAATTGGTGATAAGAAAATTATATGATAAATCCAACACCTCTTAAGAACAGATGGTCGCCCATCTGGTAATAGAACAAGGATTACGGTGATCTCACTTTCTCTTCAGATTTCGGATAATCTCATAATATCCTAACGCAGACAAGACAAGTTGACAAGTTATCTATCTTTCTTCCAACTCTAGGATCTCCTTGTCAGTTTTCGAGGTGCTTGTCTTAAATGTTGCTGGGTCAAATTGCCTGTGGTGACAACCAACCCTCCACCAAGGTAATTTGCCACCGTTACCAAGAATAGCAGTGCCGCCGAGGACTGGGAGCCGGTTCTTTTTGTTGTTGCTTGGCCATATTGGCATCGGCATTTTTTTGCTAGTTGTTATTAAAGAGGTGCTACTGCCCATTTTCTGATTTTATCCTCTATCACTTCTTTCAACACCCACGAGACAACGTGGGGTAGTGGATATCCATATACTGCCACTACACGGTATTAGCCTTATTAAGGTAAAGCCCTATAAAGGTTTCTTCCTTTAACAGTGATAGTAATTGACTGTAATGACTGAATAGTGAGTGACTGCCTCGTTGGTCTAATGGTTGTAGTAGTACGGCTGGTGATCATGAGGTCCTGGGTTCGAATCCCGGGTTGGGCCAGAAAATCAATTATTAAGTTTTTCTATCAAGAAATTCTCAGTAGCTGCCCGGAGTCAGGAAGTTGGCGGTGTGTCACCCCCGTGCCTCGGAAAGCACGTTCGTCCTGCGCCTGATCTCTCTCCGGTCGTGTCGGTTTACCATCTCATCGGATTATGAGAGTGAGGGAATAGAGAGTGCACCTGTGCTTGCGCATACACTTGGGCACTATAATCCCGTCCTGCGCCTATGGCTAGCCTCAGTTGAGGCAGGCCGCCGTGGCCGAAATTCGGTCTGGAGGACATTATTATTATTATTAATAATAGTAATAGAACATATTATACTAAATACTATAGGTAAAAAATATTTAAATATTAGTATTAAGGCATTAGAGCTAGCTAGCTTTATTTTATATTGTTTTACCCTTGCTGGGTGCATGTATATAATTTATCACACAAAACCACATGTAAATGCAATAAATAAATAAATAATTGCTTTTTTTTTTAAAAAATAAAAAAAAAATTGTTGGAATTTTAATAAATAGCACAGAATGTGTTCTTCTTTTTTAGTTATTCCGGCATGGGGCAAGAACTCCAGTTAACAGTTACAAAAGTGATCCATTTAAAAACTATCAATGGCCTGATGGACTTGGAAGTCTGACTAATGTAAGTAAAACTACTTGCATAAGTACTTATTAGTTATGCAGCATAGCATAATAGCGTAGCTAGTGCATTATTCTATAGGGCCTTCTATTCAAAAAAAAAAAAATTCAAAAAGTTCGTACAGTGGGTTACAAAATTATTAGTCACAGTCACGAAAACTTGGTGCATGAAGTATTGACCTTAAAATAATTTAAAAAATATACGGATTTTTAATTGATAATTCATATAATAATATAATAGATTTATTTACTATGTAAAATGAGAAGAAAAAACACATGTATGCAATTTCACCGTATGGGTAGCAGTGAAACCTTCAAATGAAATGAAATAAATAAAAATATTTTATGGCAAATGATTTATTTAATATGATAATTTTCAACAAGTGCAGCATACAATATACGATAAAAGTTTATTTTATAGCAAATAAATGGTACAAACCTTATTTTTAGACATGTAAATCCTAAATTATAATGAAATAAATCAAAAGAATATTTTTTTTCGAGTATAATTATTAATTTGTACTTGAGTGTGTTGAGTTTGTTTAAAAATAAAAAACATAATTTGCTTATATAGCTTACTACTAAGTTAACTTACTAGGTTTTTGCTATTCTAAGTGATGATGATTTAAAAACAAAAGCAAGAACAATTTATTTGTAAATTAAACTGTCGCAAAGACTTAGACACTAAACTGAATAAAAACATTAAGTTAGTCGGCCAATCAGACAAACGAACAAACAAATAAACTGACCCACAAACGAACGAAGACACAAATAGGGCAAACTGTATGCTTGTGTTTTATTTAGTTAATAAACAACAAAATGACCGCAATAATAATCTCTAATTTGCTCTTGAAAATCAGCCAGCACCGTCACCGATTATTGATATTGAATTAAAAATTTTAAATGAAAACCACAATCCAATGCCTGCCTAAAACTAAGTACCTATACTAACAAAATAATTGAAATTGCATAAGTATCTATTTGTTGAATGAAAAATAAAACTAAACTCAACCTAGGAAGGTTTGTTGACCCGCTAGGTTTTCTATCAAGAAATTCTCAGTAGCAGCCCGGAGTCAAGAGTTTAGCAGTGCTTCATCCATATGTCTCAAAAAGCACGTCAAACTGTTTTATCTGTATCTGATCTCACTATATTTTTGTCGGATTACTACATAACTCGTATACAATGATAAATAGACAATTTTTAATATTTTGTATATAATGATCAAAAAGGGCAGATTTTTGAAAGTTCTATAATAAGTATTATTCATAACTAACATAATTTCGTATTACGGATTTTCCCACCACCATACAATTAAAAACCATTTTTCCGCGCAAACCATGTATCCTTGTTTTAACATTTTAAGGTGAGATATTTTTTATAGCATAAGGGTGACAAACGAGCACACTGTCCACCTGATGGTAAGATATTAGGAAAATGAAAAAAAACTAATTGCATTATTTTAATCCTAAATAATTCGTACTAATTTTCAAGTTACAATTATATGTAATTTTATAATTTTTCCCTATACCAATATGAATAAATAACATTCTTAAAATCTTTTTTTACTATCTAAGGATTTTAATTTTTCATGACTTCTTTCTTAGTGGATGCCTACTTAATGAAAGGAAATTATTGTTACAATTTCACGCATCTACATCCAGCGGTTTGAGCTGTAGATTTAATACAATATTTTTCATACAAAATTTGAACTCTTGTTTTAAAACCGTAAGAGGCAGAATATATTATTTAATTACTTTCATCATCATCATTACAGCCCTTTACAAGTCCACTGCTGAACATAGGCCTCCCCCAAGGTATGCCACAAAGCACGGTCCTGAGCCACCTGCATCCATCGACTTCCTGCATGTCTTACCAGGTCGTCACTCCATCTAGTGGGGGGTCGCCCCACACTTACTACCGGTACGAGGCTGCCACTCGAGAACCTTTTTTCCCCAACGGTTGTCGGTTCTTCGAGCTATATGGCCGGCCCATTGCCACTTCAGCTTACTAATCCGTTGGGCTATGTCGGTCACTCTGGTTCTACTGCGGATATCCTCATTTCTAAGTTTATCACGCAGAGAAACTCCGAGCATAGCCATACTCCATAGCTCGCTGAGCGACTTTGAGCGTCCTCATACGGCCAGCAGTGAAGGACCACGTCTCAGTTCCATATGTCATCACTGGCAACACGCACTGGTTGTACAACTTAGTTTTCAGGTTTTGAGGTATACCTGACGAGAAGATGCGTTGTAATTTCCCGAACGCTGCCCAGCCGAGTTGAATCCGTCGATTGACCTCTCGGTCGAAGTTGGACTTACCTAGCCGGACTATTTGTCCCAGGTAAACGTACTCGTCAACAACTTCGAGCTTAGTGCTACCAACAACTACCGGCATAGGTGTGACATGGACATTAAACATGATCTTTGTTTTGTCCATGTTCATCTTAAGACCTATCCGTTGGGAGGCACTATTGAGGTCATTGAGCATAGTGCTTAAGTCCTCCAGCGATTCTGCCATAAGGACTATATCGTCGGTAAATCGAAGGTGAGTGATGTACTCGCCATTGATGTTAATACCGTATCCTTTCCAGTCCAGTAGCTTGAAAACGTCTTCCAATGCAGCGGTGAAGAGTTTCGGGGAAATAACGTCACCCTGTCTTACACCTCTCTGCAGTTGGATAGGTTTCGTACTCTGGTTCTGCACTCGGATAGCCATTGTAGCCCTACTGTACAAACACTTCAGCACTTCGATATACCGACAGTCAACTTGGCACCGCTGAAAAGACTGTAGCACCGCCCAAATTTCGACGGAATCAAAGGCTTTCTCATAGTCCACATACGCCAGGCAAAGTGGCAGATTGTACTCTTCGGACTTCTGTACAATTTGCCGAAGGGTATGTATGTGGTCTATGGTGCTAAATCCTTTTCGGAAACCGGCTTGTTCGGGAGACTGGAAGTCGTCGAGTCTGCGTGCGAGACGATTCGTAATGACTCTCGAAAACAGCACGTAGACGCGGCTCAGAAGGGATATCGGTCTGTAGTTCTTCAAGAGGGCGTTGTCACCTTTCTTGAAGAACAAGACCACCGCACTTCTGCTCCACGCCTCCGGAGTAGTGCCACCATGGAGGACGGAATTAAAGAGCCTCTGAAGGACTTCAAGTACCGGTTTTCCACCCGCTTTCAGAAGCTCCGCTGTAATTCCATCCTCGCCCGGGGACTTGCTGTTTTTAAGGTGCTGGAGAGCCATTCTAATCTCGCTCAGACTGACGTCCGGGATATCATCGGAATAGTGTCGGATAAGACCCGCTCTTGGATCGTTACTCACACTTGCGTGTGGCTCCAACGATGATGTGTACAGCTGCCCATAGAACCTCTCAATCTCACTCAGAATCTAAGGTGTCCCGGAAACGATGCTGCCACACTCAGTCTTCAGCTTTGACAGTTGGCTCTTACTGGCAGACAGATCTCTGGCAAAGACTTTGGAGCCCTGATTCAATCGCTTCTTCAATACGAGCAGTATTAAATTTGCGTAAGTCTCGCCGCATGCATTTGGAGATCTGTCTGTTCAGTTGCCTGTATGCTGTCAAATCTGTTGACGATTGCAGCCTCATCTCTCGTCTAACAGCCATGAGATTAAAGAGTGTGATCGGAGAGCTTTTGTGTTCTTCTGCGGCCGGTCTTGCAGAACTTAGCTCCGACCGCATGGACAGTTTCCACGAGCTTGTCATTCATATCGTCCACTGCATTGCAATCTTCTAGGCACTGAAAGCGGTTACGTAACTCGAGCTGAAAGGTTTCGGGATTCTGGATTAGAGCACGAGGGGGACGGAGCGTTGACTTCATTAGACGAGACCTCTCCAACTTAACGTTTAGGTTCAGTGTGCCTCTAACCATTCGGTGATCGCTGCCAGTTTTCACCCTTGCGATCACTGAGACATCACTGAACAGTTGGCGTCTGGTCGTCATAATGAAGTCAATCTCATTTTTTGTCGAACCGTCGGGGCTCGACCAGGTCCACTTCCTGTGGGGCCGCTTCTGGAAGAAAGAGTTCATCATAAAGAGTCCCTCTTTCTCCTCCAAATTTCCCTACCTTCAGCTCACCGCTTTCTCTTGTGCCTAGTTTTGCGTTGAAGTCTCCCATCAACACCGTGTAGTGGGTTTTGGAGGAATGCATGGCTCTGGAAATATCCTCATACATTTCCTCCACCTCCTCATCGGGATGTGCCGAGGTTGGTGCGTAAGCCTGTATGACCTTCAGCGAATACCGTTTGGTGATTCTGAGTATCAGGTACGCGACCCTCGTCGACACATTCCCAATCTTTACCACGTTGTTGACGAGAGACTTGTGGACGATAAATCCGACACCTCCTTGGGACAGATGGTCACCCTCCCGGTGATAGAACAAGTTGCCGGACTCGAGGATTACCGTGTCCTCCCCCTCTCTTCGGACCTCGGATAACCCAATAATATGCCAGCGCAACTTGTCTACCTCTTCTTCCAACTCCAGTATCATCTCGTCAGTCCTCAGGGTGCGTGCGTTATATGTTGCGAGGTCGAGTCGTCGTAGGTGGCAACTGAACCTCCACCGGAGACTTAGCACCCCCTGCCCCGCTGTTACCATGGTCGCCACCGTAGCCAGGAATAGCGGGGCCGCCGGGGACTGGGGGCCGTTTGTTTGCGTCGTTACTCATGGGGGGATATTTGCCATAGTTGCCACGCTTGACGAGCGGGTTGGCAACCGCAGTTTTTTATTATATCATTGCTGTTATCAGGAAGATGCTGCTGCCCATATCCTGCCTGTCTCCCTCTGTCGCCTCTTACGACACCCACAGGAAGATATGGGGTAGTGGATATTCTCAACCGCCACTACACGGATTACTTTAAAGCATTAAAATATATTTGCTCCCATCAAATTAAATATTATCTACCCCCTTCTCCCTCTCCCGGTAATTGGTGGTTTTAAGAAATACCAAAATATTTTATGTCCATACAAAATTGCATACCCTCTGCCCCTCCCCCTCTACCGTAATGGTTACTTTGAAATCGCAAAATACGTATTTATTTATTTTTTAAATACAGTTTCTACTCTCAGTAGTATCGAGTCAATCGTCTTATAAAATACTTTTGTAATGAAATAATAAACAGTAACACCCTTATTTTACCCTGTTAGGGATCGAATTTTTCAAAATGATTTCATAGCGGATTTCTACGTCGTCGTATAAAAAATATTTTTGGTATCTACGTACTGTCGAAATTTTAGATTTCTACTTCAAGCGGTTTAAGTTGAGCTTGTGCACTGGTAGATGTGTGCACAGTTTAAATTTTATAAATGCTATTTGCTAACGAAATAAAAAAAATCTGATATAAAATAAGAATTTTGTCTACTTTTAAAAAACTTAGCAATTTAAAAAAACATAAATTACTAATATGCACGTTATTACTAATTCCAAATTTTAAACTAAAGAGAAAAATGTGTCAGGACGGCACTATGGACTCTTCCCCGCTCCAGGAAGCATGAGAATGCCTACAATGATATCCTTTTTTTTACATATACATTTCATTGAATGCATATACTTGGCCGTGGACCATATTATATTGGCTGTATATTATAATATATAACCCGCTTCTTCGGTTCCGTAATCCGTAAAGCGTGCGTGATAGATCGTGGAAACTTTGCCAAATATGAGGTAATCAATAGGGAGGCCTACGTTCAGCAGTGAACTTTAAAATGCTATAATGGTTATCGGATAAAAGAAAGAAATATATGTACTGGCTTGTATAATTTAGAATAATAATTACATTAAACAATTGCTTTAACGAATCACAAGAGCGCAAATTATAAATTGCACGTACTACCATTTTATGGAAAATAAAACAGCCTTCATAGAAGGAAAGATTGTGAAGATTGAAGTAAAACCGCTTAGCAAGCGGACATTATAATATGTGAAAAGTATTTGAAGTACCAGACGTTTAGTATCCTTGAACGCTGGCCACTGCCGGTCTTGTTGTTTATATCTGTCAGATGCAATGAGATGTTTCTAGCGTTCCCGTAAGGTAATAATTCATTGCCTCGCATTAATTTGTGGTAAAAATAATACAACAATTATATTATTTTTAAGGCTGGGAAACTACAACTTTACGAATTGGGCAAGAAATATCGAAACTATTATGCTAACTTCATCCCAGAAGAATATTATGAAAAGGACATCTATATTAAGAGCAGTGACAAATCTAGGTGCTTAATGAGTGCATACACTTTCTTAGCTGGCCTTTATCCTCCCTCCGAGCGTCAATTATGGCATCCTGAAATTCCTTGGCAACCAATTCCTGTACATTCGCTACCTAAGCATTTAGATGATGTAAGTATTAGTCATAAATTAGTAAGCGCACTTTAGATAAGCGTGAATTGATTTTTTATAAAAGGTAAAAATAAATCAATTAGCGTGCGTGCGTGTGTGTGAGCGTGCGCGTGTGCGTTGTGATTGCGTGTTAGCGTGAGTGCATGTGTGAGAGGGTGCGAGCGTGCGTTCGTGCGTATGCGTGTGCGTGTGTGTTGTGATTACGTGAAAGCGTGCGAGCTTGCGTGCGTGTGTGCGTGTATAAATGCGTGCGTGCGTGTATAAGTGCGTGCGTGCGTGCGTTCGTGCGTGCGTGCGTGCGGGCTTGCGTGCAAGCGTGCTTGTGTGATTGCTTGTTGCTGTGTGAGAGAAAGAAAGTGTGTGTCTATGCGTCTGTATCATATAATTGTTAATAATTATTAAAGATGCATTAATCTATAATTATGAATAGTCGTTTTTAATAAATTTATAGGCATCATAGAGCATGTTATATTGCATATTATAATATTATTAGATTTATTATTTATAATTCACAATTGTGATCTTTCTAGATAGTAGCACAGACCAAACCTTGCAAAGTTTGGAAGTCAATGTATCAAGAACTGTTAGATGAGAAAAATGCCGATCCTAAATTCGCCGAGCTCTTTGATTACCTGAGCAAACATACAAATCAGAGCATGCGCAGCGTTTTAGATGTAGACTTCTTGTACAGCACGCTACTAGCACAACAGGATGCTGGACTGAAGCTTCCAGATTGGACAAGGAATGTATTTCCAAATAAAATGCGCACGCCATTCATGCTGAGCTTAGCTTTATTATCATACAATAAAACATTGCAAAGGCTGAAAGTAGGCAAGTAATTATTTCATTAGTCTTGTTATACAATAATCATTACTATGTCTATCTTTTTCGATTTTTTTTAAATGTATAGTCAGTTCACTAAGATAGTATCGGTACAACCGGAGGCGCACTTATTATTTTGCTTTTATTGTATTATTTTTATTGTGTTTGTTAAATAAATATTTTTCTATTCTAAAAATAAAATAGAATACTATTTTACCCTTTGGTTATTGTAATAAAATACGAATATAAATAATAAACACAAATAAGGTTAAGGCAAAAAAACTACGGAGCTTCGTTTTATAATGTCAAATTGTTCTGTGGGTGTACACAGCACGCGGCGACCTGCGTTGTTGCGGCGGCGCCTTTGACAAGATGCGGCACGTAATAAGCCAACCGTATCTAAGCGAACGGACTATATTTATTTATCTTAATGAATATTAAGTTTAGAGCCGAGGCAGCACAATGTGCAACTAGAACTTAATCCTTGATGATAACTCTACTTAACGTTCACGGTCTCATTACAAAACTTGGGTTAATGATAATCTCGGTTTTAAGATATGATTTAATAAGTCTGTTACACTAAAAAAGCCCTTGACTGCGGCGCCAGTCTTCACGAAATTTCTCATTCCCGGATATTTTTTGCGGAACTTATAGCAAGTTCTTATTAAAACCTGAGCTAACTGCAATTACTTCTTTTTGTAATAAGACGGTCAATGTTCAGCGATAAACAAAATGGAAACTTACTTGGCTAAGAAAGGAAATGTATTCAGCGAGTATTTATATTGTTCTGATCGTCAATAAATCGGCCTCAGCCCAGTGAAATGGAAGAGTACGGCGTGGTACGGTAAACGCATGATGTTGTATTCTAGTTGTACGGGGAATACGCCGCCACGCTTCGCCAAAAGTTATCCAGTCAGGCTTTGCACTAGGGGACAGGCCACAGTTGAGTGTTCGGCATGGCGTAAGGCATAACGTCATAATAAACACGCTGTAGTATACGGCCATTGAATGACGGGTAAGCTTTACCGCGGTCTTACTGACTCGCCGATAGCGCTCGTTGGTGAACCATCGCAAAACGAGGAGCCCGGCTCGCGGCTTGCCAGCTTTGAATGAAATTTGGAATGTTGCTTCGAAAAAGTCTAAAGCATAACAAATTGACCCGCTAGTGTATCAGGAATAACGAGCCGCGAGTATCACCGCAATAATATCCCCTGCAAGCTTATGGCTTGACTTAGAACGTAGGTAATGATTATATACTCTTTGATTATATACTCTTCGGCTTGCCCGTCGATGGCTTGCAGGGCCTTAAGTGTCCGCTGTATGTGAATGCACTCGTTCGAATTGTAAGGGAAACACGTCGTCACGCCACACTTACACTGCACACTTACATTACACTACACTTACACTTACGCCACACATACAGCTTAAAGTCTTCCCATCTCAAATATGAGTTGAAATGCCTGACGCCTGGAGGCATGCAGTGAGGTTGGGAAACGTTGTTCTAAAGCAAAAAAGTCGTATATTAGACTGCTTTAAATATTGAATAAAGTATTTTTACTTCACTTATTTACAATAAGAACAATTTCAGTTTCTAGTATTTGTCATAGGTATAATATGCTAAGTTATATTTGCATGAATGCCTCTAGTATACTTCTACCTGCTTGGAGTCTGTAGAATATGGTTTGGTTAATAAAGTGCCGTGTGGTGGTACTTGGATGTCGTTAGAGGCGATGAAAATGAATCATGAGACACTAAATCTTCCAGATAACAATCCAAAATAATAAAAATCTGCAGTTGTCAACCTACCTGCCAAGCATAGCATGGCATTTTTACTCTAAGTTTTGTACAAAACATTTTTATAATTAATTCTTGTTCAATATTTTTATTCACTATCAAAACTCTTTGTACGAAGCTAAATAGAATAGACTACTGTCTGTTTTTTTTTAACAAACTAGTACCGAAAACTTGGCGTTGTTGTTGGTCCACGCAATCAACATAAGAGTCCGTTTCACACAAACGCTGTAGTTAAATCATGTAATTACAGCGTTTGTTTATAGCTACAGCTATAAATCGATTATGGGTTCATTGACGTCGATGTTTCGATGTTTGACATATGGCAACATCGATGTTAAAACGTTTATTTTTAAAATTTGTGTGCATTGTTTTAATTTTTAACATCGATGATCATCGAACATCGTCGGGTAGTCGTCTACTACCTGCGCGTCACACGTCTTTTAATAAGTGAACCAGACGATATTGTTTGTGCTATAATGTTATATGTAATGCTATAGTGTTATAAAATTGATGATGTTCGAACTCTATTGTTCAAGGATTAACTAAAGTGGATAGCCAAAAATGATCGTCATGTGTCAACCTCATCAAAATCATGTGATAACCAAGATCGAAACAAAAATGTACGAAGTCGACAATAATGAAGAAAATATGTTAGAGCAGTTTATTATTCACGTGTCTGTAGAAAGTTCATCAGAAGGAAGCGATGACGATAGTTTTTAGGAGTACCAGAATTATATAACAATTATTTTTTTTTTCAGTTCTTGTGCGTAATATAATTATACAGTATCCAATATTGTTTTATTGTTAGTTATTTATGAAATTATTTATATATAAAAATAATTTAATTATCTCTACAGTAAATTTTAGAACTATTCGATATGAACGGACCTTTACAATTTCATGACCCATCTCACTCTGTCAATATCAGAAATGTGCGAGAGACATACTCAGTACTTGTTTGTTAAAAACAAACAAACTAGATGCTAGCAGCTTGTCTAATAATACTAATAACATAACTGATTTCTTCTATTACGCTTATGGTTTTTGGTCAATAGGGGCTTGTCACCGCTTATTAATTTATATAAAGTGGCCTACATTCATTAACGATACAGTAGTACATAAGCTTTTAAAAAGAGATCGTGTTGCATCATAAAAAATAGTATTAACGCCATGTAGTGGCAGCGTAAGAGGCTCCATCACCCCATTTCGTTTCGTGGCTTTCGTGGTTTCGAAAGAAGTGACTGAAAAATGGCGGCAGGATCTAACGGCTTCCAAAACATGGCGGTTTTACTCTTGGATTGACCATCTCCGATGGCGAGTAGCGTCAAAGGTGCGAGACGAGTCTGGTTCTATCTGGTATCGAGTCTGGTTATCTTCGAGTCGATTGCCATGACAATTGAGGCAAATACTCCCCACATCGGGGAAGAAGAAGCCTATGTTCGGCAGTGGACCTCTATGGCCAACAAAGAAGAAAAGAAAAAAATTATCAATAATATTTTGTCACTTTTATAGTAAATATAGGTATTTGCACGATAACATTCTGGAAAAGTAGTAAATTACTATAGATGTTTGTAGCTTCTTTTTTTATTTAATTTGGTTGCCGTATGAATTTAATATCTGTTAGAAATTAAATGAAATGAATTTTACAATTTTATTCTAGCAAATATATTACATTTCAGAAAAATGAGTAATATGTATTTTATAATAGTGATATTAATATTATACATAAATAAAAATTTGACTGTTGTGTATTTTAAAAATAGTTTTATGGTATTATTACAATTTTATAGGAATTGTTATTAACATGTATTACTGTGATTTTGACCACGTGTATGATTACATATATGACATATTTACAAATGAATATGCATGGATTCATAATTGCCATATACAAGGTGTGTGGAAAATAGGTGCACGGAAAATGGGTACAAAGCCTGAAGGGGATGATACCTTAAAATATTTAGAGCATAGTCTGCTCCTTTTTAAAATTGAATTTCGAAGGTTTTTAATAAAAATCTTTTTCCAATTAATTTCTGATAGTGTCTGGTAAAAGTTTTTATTTTTATTTTTTATTATGTGAGATTACTCAAACAAAATAATTTCCAACTATCTTCATCATCAGAAAAATTTTCTACGCATATTTAAGTTTAAGAAAACAAAAAAAAACAAAATGTGTTTATGTCATCATAAAAAAATTAAATAAGGAGAGGAATTAGGGTTCACAAAGCAAATTGCGAACGAATATTTCTAATTTTACCAGATAAATAAAACATTTTCAAAATTTTGACCGTGAATTCATCTCATCTCTCATCGTTTTCATCTCCTGCTTCATAGCTTGATAAGCTGTATAGATACCTCCTATTAACTCCTCTCTGGTTGATATTTCCACATGCGGATATACGAGTTCCTTGGCCCGTCCCCAAATAAAAAAAATCAGGCGATCGAGGTGGCCAAGAGAAGGGTTCGTCTCTACCGATCCAGTTCTCAGGGAAACAATTATTTCTCTCTAATGTTCTCGCACGTTTAGAGTCCAAAGGCTATTTAATTTAATTTTTTAATATGCCATAAACGCAACATTTCCTTGATTTTTTTTTTGGATCCTCAAACTTAAATATGCGTGGAATGTTTTTCTGATGATGACGATACTTGGAAATTATCTTGCTTGAGTAATCACGCATTACATAAATAAAAATAATAAAATAACAACTGTTATTGACCACTATTAGCAATTAAATGAAAAAACATAGGGTTTTATTTATGGAGTGTAGCGGTAAGGAGTACAGACTCTGTATAAAAAAGTTCCATAGGAAAGCGTTAAATAAGGGTGGCGCCACTGTAGCTACATCAAATTTTAAAGAACTTTTTATAATTTTTTTATTGCACAGACTTTCACCATAATTCTTTTTACAATAATTTTTTTATTGCTTTCAAAATGTGTATTTTCAAAATCACTCTCAACGTATTTTACGGCGATTTAACATACCTCGTAGCTACTCGAGCGCTGTAGTGGAGAGTTTTTGAACTGTTATTTACTGCTTACAGATGGACACTTTTTCAACTATTCTCCTATGGGAGTCCTCTTCTCCTCTCCTTACTTCTACACTCCATAGTTTTATTGTTATATAACAACCATACAAATTCAATTTAAAAAGGAGCATACTTCGTCTGAGATAAGTTTATCTTAATATGTTCTAAATGGTTTAAGGTCTCATCCCCTTCAGGCACTGCATCCATGTTCCTAATAACCTGCATATATACACACATATATATGTATAACATGAACATAGTTACTTTCCGAAACTACTTTTTTACTACTACTACGTTTATTACTTTTAAAATTTTATGTGATTTTTGTTCCCTCCTAAGACTCCTAGATGGGTAGTAGTGAACTAAAAACTCGCAAAGCTCAAATACGTGGGGGCCTTTTTATGTCAATAAAAAAGTCATTTTAATGTATTGCACTGCAAATGATATCGAAACTGCATAATTTACCGCTCCACGGTATCCACAAGATTTGCACGATAGCACGCACGACTGAATGACATAACAGTTGCGAATTTATTTTATTTGCTTAAATACCTAATCGTAAATATCGTAAATATGGCTGCTCTATCGTATTTACTAGAATTAAAAACTTATTTTAGGGCCTTTCTTAGCTGAAATTAAGACAAATTTACAAGAGACAGTGAACCATGCAAACTTGGACCGTTCTCTGTACTTGTATTCCGGTCATGACGTAAACGTGGTCGCGCTTTGGCGAGCGCTTGGCTTTGAAGAGTTACTGGACCCCGACTATGGAGCCAGCCTTGTGTTGGAGCTCCATGAGGAGGTGGAACAAGATAGCTTTTTTGTCAAGGTAAGTTCTAAAAAAACAAATGTTTCCTTCTGCTTATAATATTAGGCGCCGTTAACATTGTACCGTATAACGACATTGTAAGGGAATTCGTTTAGTCCCTGTAGCGTCTATAAAGTCGAATTAAGAAAATCCAGGAAAAGATTAGCTCCGAAACATGACGGAATATCTTCGCTTCCGCTCAAGTACAGTCGAGTTCATATTTATAGTTTGTTAATTTTTGTCCGTTTCAAATATTTGTTGTTATTAGTTACTTTTTCCGTTTATTTATACTTAGCTATATGGGTAGGTATATAAAGAATAGGAAACATTTGAGTATTTTGCATAGACATAAAAAAATCTAATATTGTACTTTAAAAATAATAATTTAATATTTTTATAATTGCTACGCCCAAACTGGGTTCAAATGCGGACTTTTTTTAAACATAACATCTATTGTAACCATTTGATTGCAATAAAGACTGTGACTATGACTATGACTATGAAAAATTATATGTGGTAGAGCCATGCTGCAGTTATATTAGTAGTATAGTTGTAGCACGAATGGGTCGGCTTGACCGGGGAAGGACCACGCTCTCACAGAATACCACCGTGAAATAGTAGCTTAATGCTGCTGTTTTTCGTATGGTGAGTGTAGAGAACCGGAGAACCTTTTTACTGGAAACGAAGCATTCCATCTTAGTCCTCACGGGTGACAACGCATCTGCATTTTGATCTGTAATCAAGGATGGATGTAGATGTCTATGGGCCGCAGCAAACACTTGCCATCAGGTGGACTGCTAGTTTGTCACCCAATCCTATATAAAAAAAAAACAAAGACAATAATACAAACCAGCTTTTGTATAAATCAAATAAACATTGACTCACTAATTTATTGTTAAATTTAATTCACATGTAATATTTGACAAGAAACTGTGTTGATGAATTATCTATGCCCCCTGACAATCCTCTTCTTTAGCTGTCGCCTGATCGGATGGTGAACAAACTTTGTAGCTTCTTTTATTATTGACAAAATAAGCTAACATTCTCCTTCATCTGAATATTTAGTTCTTTCAATATATCAAGAAATAGTAAATCAAATAACCAAAAACATCATAAGAACATAAAACGCAAGAAAATATTTTGTCTTTGAATAACCTACGACTTTACGTATGACTTTCTCGGAGTTCCCAGTAAGCTACATATTTATTATCTGTGGATTCGGCTCTGCGCTCATCAACTTGCCTGCCCAGTGCGGTGGTAAGAGTATTGGCAAATCTGAGAAAAGCATATTAACTGTTGCATTCTTTAAAAGATCCACCCGTGGACTAAAAAGGAGTGATAATGCGAATGTATACAAGTCTTATGTATTTTTTACATTTTCAGTTATTCTATCGCAACAACACTAAGGTCGAAATTCCAATGGAACTAAATATGCCGTTCTGCGAAGACCCTTGCACATACAAACGATTTATCCAGCACATCGAGTCTTTAATACCTGCCGACTGGGAAGCAGAATGTCAAAATTGATATTAAACTGGTGATATTATTTTAATTCTTAATAATATTTTAATATTACATGTCATAAACGAGGGGTGTTCTATAATGTTTTATACCTAAGTCAAATTAGAATGTAAGATTATATTTTAAACATGTCTTCCTGTTTGATAAATATTATAAAAAAAGACTCGAATAATTTATAGAGTAAAAAGTTTTTAATGTTCAAAAAGGTCTTAAGGGCTTTTCTCTTGCAACTTGAATCAAATGATGTTGCAGTACAGTTAACTTAATTGTTTATTATTGAAATTAATAATTTCAGCGTTAGCTGCCGCTAACAATTACCCTCGGTTTCGGCAAAAACCCGGTATACTCAGAATTCCAAACGGTATTCGCTGAAGGTGTAATAAAGAGGTGGAGGCGATTTATGAGGTTATCTGAAGAGCCATACATTCCCCTTAAACTTTTTACTTGGCGTTGATTGGAGACTTCAACGCCAAAACTTTGACCACCCGGTGAAAGATGTTGGAAGTCGATGGATGTCGACGGCTCAAGACTGTACTTTGTACTTTATGACAGTTTATGAGGGAGACATAAATCTGTAGACTTGTGGTGGGTTTTAGTGATAGTGATAGTAGTAACAGCATCAACCGGTAGCTGTTCTTATGTCAGCTACCCAAGGATAGCAAAGCATTCTGTTGGGGATATCGTTTAAGTCTAGTAGAAACCTATAAATAGAAAACTTATATACGAGAAGTGATCCAAAAGTAAAAAAAGAGTAGATAATGAATTATAAAAACGGTGATTATAGTTAAAGAAAATTCTACATGGTTTCTTAGCAAGTTAACGCATTTAGTCCATCTTTTTTATAAACCCAAAATTCCCTTAGAAAAAAAATCTTTATCTTGGCTCTCCAAAAAAGCCTCAACAGCGTCCATCACTTCCTGGGTGGTCCCACCAAAAAAAAAACAAAAACAAAAAACCCTATCACCAATTTCGCAGTTAACATTTTCGGTACCCAAGGCGAGAAATCTTTTTCTTAAGTAATTCGTTAGTAAGGATTCTTTGAACACTGCCATATGAAATCCCTGTGATCTCAGCTATATGCTAGATGGGTCACTCTTCGTTCTGCCAATACAACGTCTTCGACTTTTTTCACGTTATCTTGATTGACGGATGTGTATGGGCAATGGATTGCGATGTTCTTCTTCTGTGGGTATTCTGCCCAGCTCAAACTCCTTGGTCCAGTGTGCAACTATGGAATATGGAAAAGCAGAGTCCATCTATGTTTCCACCAAGTTGCTGTGTATGTCTGCGTTAGACATTTTTTGAAGTGAAAACTTCTTTAGCGGCGATGTACACTTTTGTAATGGGTAAAAAATGTTAAACTCACGTCAGGACACGTGACCCTGATCGAAAATTCGTAAGACGGATGGAGAGAGAGAGACAGCCGGCGCGGCGTAGGAGAGGAGTATCCCCCTCTCTTTCTATGGCGCGGCGAAAATGTATACCTGCGCCTACTGTTTCGTTTAGGCGGAGCAGGGCGCTTGCGCGAATGTTCGTTGATTCGTTCGTTCGTTCGTGTGATAATTAAAACAATTCGTGCAAAATTATTCCCTAATCATTCCAAAATATTAAAAATGCACAACGCTAATATTCAAGTTTTCACTTCTGCGGCACTCCAGGAATGCAACCCGTCGTTTTTTTAACAGATGTACTTGATGACAGCTCTAATTTCGTTTCTCTCCATTTTGATGTTATCTCTTCGATGATTCGTAATTAAATTAATGTAAACTCATTACAAATTTATATGATTTTTTATGCTGATCCAGTAGGTACATAAGATGATTAGCAAAAATAGTGCGTTTTTTTATTTTTATGTGCACTGGAAATAACCGATTATAATTACTTTTGGATCACCCTTATAATATGTGGAAAAGATATAAAGGAAAACTATATATATATTATTAGCATTAATTTGCTCTGTTTTTAAATATGACAGATTTATTCAACGATCTTTTAGATTATTACGTGTGTTTATAAATCCGTAGTACAGAACGCTAGGCTAAAAAAAATAATATGCACTGTTTTATGGTTGGATTTGATTCCTTTTTTCCCGTATGAAATACATTTTTGGTTTCCCTTTAGCTTCATTTCAATGATCTTCCATAAATAAATATTAAATTGAATATATAGAATTATTTCGCATTACAACTCATAAATAAAGTTAGACTTTCCAAAGATGCGATAGCTGGTATGCATTACTTGGAAGATTAACCTCTACTCTGGACAAGCGATTGTTACGCGCAGTAACCTATTTATATAATATAAATATACGTAAGTAGAAAATATATTAATATTGATTTTAAAGCAAACTACTGTCTATAATCGTACACCCCTCGCTTAGTCATGTATTGTTAACGTTTGGTTTGTTACTTTGTATTTCAGATTTTTGTTTATTCAGAATTTTAACAGTAAACAGTATATGCTAATTATTATATATCTTTACCTATGAAATTGCCGTTTTAAAAAAAAATTAACGTCACCTCATGCAGTAAAATTTTTTATTTTATTAATTACATTTGGACCCACTTTTAATCAAATGTCACAATCTGATTCAGAATCCCCTATTTTTTGTACGATTCAAGAAATTAGAGCTAGTTTCAGTATAAGTGTGTATATTTATTTATTTACTTCAAATTTAATTCTCAATTTGGTACAAAAGAAACAGTAGCGTATATTGTCATTTACGTTAAATACTTCTGCTAACTCTCAAGTAGTTTGAAATGAATTTACTATACCTCATCATCCACATGACGCATTGCAGTTTTAAACCTAATTTTCCGAAACGGAAGCCATCAAAAATACTCTATATACGTCCATTTCCGGCAACTGCAATGTGATTGTGTAACTCTGATGGAAATTGTTTTTCGTGGGAATATTTTCAACTGCGTTGTGTTTTTCAACAAAACTAAACAAGATTCCCACCAAAATGTTAATAACACTACTATACACTATAAAAGTTTATAGTAGTGTTTAGCGCCACCAATTTAACGGTTCAGTTGACAGTCTCTAAGGGAGAGTTTCCTTTTGCCGCGGAAATAGTGACTGCATGTTAATAGCATATTCATAAAGAACGACAGTTTAAAGAATTAACACGCGTGGAGAAACGCGTTTACGCGCGAATCCATATTTTCATAGGATAAACTTGTTTCTTAATAATTATCATCATGGTTCGCTGTCGCCACAACGAACTCAATTCCGCGAACAGATACGTTTGTATGTGGAATTAAATGTCATTGAAGCTGGTAAGTTTTTGTTTATACCAATGTAAAAATATCTACATATAACCGAAAGACTCCAGATATCATTTTTGACAAAATCGAAAAATCATAAAAATGTCGATTATTGCATTCTTTATTACGAGGGCAGCATTGTGGTGCGTAACTTTTTATATTGGTCTTTTAAAAACTCGGCGTCTTTGGGTGAGTTCAGTCACAATGTTTTGATAATTATTTGATCGTTTTCTGTGAACTGCTGCTATAAAAACTTCACAAATGGCATGATACGATGTCTAATTTAAGACATAATTTTTTTTTTAAATTTTTGAAGCAAATATCATCACGCAAATTGTCAGCTTTATGGGTGGCTTCACGAATTTTGTGAGAGGTTATGGGACTATGTGAGCATCCTGCCATTGCTATATCTCCAATCTTTCTCTGGGAAATAATTTTCAAAAATGGTTGTAAACCTATTTCTGCAGACGTATTCAAACATTAACACTGATACTTCCTTTCTTGTCAATCGGAACCCATGTCTTACCATGATGTGTATACAGTCTGCAATTTTTTATATTTACCATATATTATATAATATATGGTAAATATATTTACCAAGAGCTAAGGGTTTACCTGCCCTGTCATTCGTAGCGTATGATCAACAATATCTAGTGATGATAGTGGATCTTGGCATATTATAAAGTTCTGCGGCTTGGTAGCTCGTCTTTCTTTTTCATTTTACATATTGAATAGCCTACTGCAACTTTTCTATTGTTATAGGTTTTCTCTTTTTGTCTTTGATGGTTGCCAGTTGTCCCATCTTAAAATATAATATATAATGTTAATATACAATAGATACTGAACTTAAAATAAAGTCCTCTTTAATTTGAATTTGTAACCACTTTCGACCAATAATGATGATATTAATGTGAGGTATCATTTGTAATTAAATTATTAGAAAAAGTAGATTGTATGTTTTCGTTTCCCTAGGTACAAAAAATATTTAGGAATTAAACTTGATAAGTACCTACTAATTTCCTTTGAAGAAAATCTTTACTACCTAGCATATTATTTGAAAACAGTTTCCATGTTTGTAAACCTGTGGTTTATGCCATTTAATTTTCCTATTTTTTTCTCAAAAGCTGCACAAGTTTTTTACCGGATAGAAGAAATAGATTATGGGAAAAATTGTTCTGTCTTCAGAGCGAAAACATTTACGAAGTACTGGACCTTCGTATCTACAGTTAATGTGGAAGAAGATGAAGGTTCATGTTCAGCCCAAGATGAAGGGTCCTGGGATAGGAGCTGCTGTACGAATTGCTACGTCCCATTGGAATAATTTTTAATCCACCAAGCGCAGCTGATAACATTTCTGTTGAAAAATCAGGTGTATGGCCAGAAATAGGCGCGGAATTGAGCGTAGCTATTTGTCCTACGCTGATTCGTGTTTTCTCGCTTTGCTCGTCATTTCTCGCACGATGAAATGGATTTTCGTAGATCAAGAGAGAGAGACAAGATCATTGAATAAATGGTCTCTCCTGAGGATATTATTTTTAGCGTAACCCGACAATTAATGAGTGGTATATGCGTGCCTTCCACAGAATAACATACAATGCGGTCAACGAAAGTCACAGTTAGATTATAGTTTGAAATAGACGATTATGAAGCCAAATGTTCTTCACCTTTGGGATCTATCTTATACGAAATGACTGTAAATATTTTACTTCTGAATTTGCGCCTCTATAAATGGTAGTC